GCCAAAAAGGTTTAATCAAAACATTTCATTGTAGGAACTTTAAAGAAAAAGCTCATAGAATCCCTGCCCTGACTTTTCACAGTAAGAAATGTAAGTTAAAAGTTTGACAAAAATGCAAAATGCATAACTACATAGATGTGACAGATTTGCATATTCCAAGATGGCAGCCTGGGAGAGTTATCTACAGTGTATGAAAAACTGTGTTCAGAGTTAACAGGTAAACTAAGGACAGTGAAATATTCCTGGCTCAAGAATGACATACCACTTTTGGTATAGAGAAACTATAGTTTATAGGCTGGGTACAGTGGCTTATGCCTGTAAGTCAGCTCTTTGGGAGGCCAAGGTGAGTGGATCACCGGAGGTCAGGAGTTCGAGACCAGCCTGGCCAAGGTGGTGAAACCCCATCTCTACTAAAAAATACGAAAAAAAAAAAAAAAAAAAAAAAAAAAAGGCTGGGCATGGTGGCGGGCACCTGCAGTCCCAGCTATTTGGGAGGCTGAGGTGGAGAACTGCTTGAACCCAGGAGGCAGAGGCTGCAGTGAGCTGAGATAGCACCACTGCACTTCAGCCTGGGTGACAGAGCGAGATTGTCTCAAAAAAGAAAAATTAAAAAAAGAGAAACCATGGTTTATTAGAACAAAAACAAAACATTAAAAAGCAGCAATCTGGCCGGGAGTGATGGCTCATGCCTGTAATCCCAGCACTTTGGGAGGCCAAGGTGGGCGGATCATGAGATCAAGAGATCGAGAACATCCTGGCCAACATGGTGAAACCCTGTCTCTACTAAAAATACAAAAATCAGCTGGGCATGGTGGTGCGCGCCTGTAGTCCCAGCTACTCAGGAGGCTGAGGCAGGAGAATCCCTTGAACCCAGGAGGCAGAGGTTACAGTGAGCCGAGATCTCACCACTGCACTCCAGCCTGGCAACAGAGCGAGACTCTCAAAAAAAAAAAAAAAAGAAAAAAAAAAGAAAAGAAAAGAAAAGAAAACAACAATCCACAAACTTTCTCACATTGGGATTGTCCTGAAGAACAAAAATCTTGTATCCAGACTATAGGTTTAAAAGTTATTCTACTTTATTAAAGCCTTTATATATTCCACTTACAGATCTATGTGGAGCACCTAGTGATTCAAAGAGTTATTCCTATTCTCCATTACAAGGAAAGTAGAATACTTGTCTAGTCAAATAAGCACTGGTGCTATTTTCAGTAAAGTGAAAAGTCATGATCTTGCCCTTAAAATATTTGATAAGCAGTATAAATCATGAATTTTAAAAGTAAGGAAGCATTTAAAACTTAAATTTTATTCTACTGGTTTTTCCTGTGGAAGCTATATTTGGAAGGCTGAGATTCTCTTAGTGAGCAATATAGTCAATATTAATATTGTGTTTCCATCTATTAATTTACCATGTTCACCACCTGAAGATGATCAGCTAGCAATAACGCCATTTCCATAAAGGCCAGGGACTTAGTCATTGTTGTTTAACCCATTCTTTAAATCCAAAAGCCACATTTGCTGATACAATTATAGAACGCAAAATTTCACAGAAACACATATTACTTAGTCACTTGAATAACAAGTTATTTAACACATCAGATCAGAACGGAGGGGGGTACTATGATAGAGTCTCTAGGGGTGAGGGAAATGAACTGATATGGATATATAAAATGTTCTTCTGGCTAGCTGCCTAGTTATCAGTTTCAAGTTCCCTACAGCATGAATCCTCTGAGGGCTTAAATTGCTGAGTGGAAAAATGGGAACAGTGGTTTCAAGTACACTTCTATTTTTTTCTGAGATTCTGAAATAAATTTTAGTTATTAAAACTCATTCCTTGTAAACTACTACCCCCAAAACTTCAGTGTTTCAAACCCAGTGTCAATAAGATGCAATGGAGAAAAATGATTTATTTCCATTGCAAAATTGAAGAAGAGCTACTAAAGGGAGATAAATATATATGAATTCATGTAATTCATAGTTTGAAACATGTATAAAATACAACACTGATTCAAAAGCCCAAACAATCACATCTATTATTACCAGTACATAAAAATTTAGATAAGTACCATAACTTAAGTGTATATATGTCTGAGAAAGATAGATGTGTTGGGTTATAAATATAATCTTTTGAAAGGTATGTTTAATATTTATACGTTTTGCTATTATTGGGATCAGAATGACAGTTTTACCAATTAGGGTATGGAAAATGAAGTTTGTCTTAAGACCAAGAACAGATAAGACAGGGAAACTAAAAGGAATACCGCAAATAGGGTTGGGTGAAGGCCAGCTGATACTTGAACTGTTATGCTTTTAGTTATTTTTAATTATTAAATTATGCTGTACACATTCTCTTCTCCATCCATACTCAGTATCTTACAAATGCACCTGTGTGACAAGTATGGCTAAAAATGAATCCCTTATGTCTGCTCTATGGCCTATATATTGAGCAATTTAATCGATATATTAACTAATTTAGTTCCACTGGGACATTTTCCTAACTTATTTCTCATTTTTGGAGAAGACTGTCAAAACTATATTTTTGAATAAAATTAACATATTTAATGCTTTTAAAATACTAGGTAATACATTTCAAAACACTTAGTTTTCCAGAAGACGGCAAAGCTAACCCTTACTTTAAATGTTAGACATGGGGTCATAAAAATGTTGGGGTAGAAGGGATTTTAGAAGTATTAAAGTCAAATTTTTAATCTTTTCTTTTTAAATTTTTTACCTACTATTTTAATGAAGAGCTATGCAATTCAACATTAGACCATAGTCTTCATGAAGGCAATGACCAAGTCTGTTTCTTTTATAATCACCTGTCCAGCACATTATATAATGACTGATAAACAGCTGTTGAGTGAATAAATGAAGGTACTTAATGAGATTCCTCACATGTTGCTGGCCCTGGGCTAGGAGCCCAAAGATGTACAGCATGATCCTTGCTCTTAGCAACCTCACTTTCTCTGGGAGAAAAAAAAAATGCATAAGTAAGTTGCTACAATATATGTGAAATTTAAGTGTGACAATTTAGCATGCTTGGTGATCTATGAGAGCACCAACTGTGAGCACTTTCTTCTGCTTGGTGGGAGTTGGGGGTTGTAGACACCCAGGAAAGACAACAAAGATAGGTAACATTTTGGCTGGTCCTTGAGGGCTAAGTGAGAATTCACCAAGTAGACAATGTAAGGGGATCCAGACAGAGAGAACAGCATTTGCAAAGGCAGATATATATGTGTGTGTGTATATATATCGATGTATATATATGTATGTATCTATGTACGTATGTATATACATATACATACATATATACACACACACATATATACTTTACACACACACATTCAATACACTCTACCCATATCACCCCTTTTTCCCAAATATGCCATTTTTTAATATATATATATCATATGGGCAGAGTGTATTAAATGGTCTGGAGAACGGGAGTTATAGCTGAGAAGGTAAGCCAGGGCTAGGAAGCAAATAGCCACTTAATCTCCTTATTCATTGGATTTCATTCTCTAGGCAAGCATTATTCTGCAAGGAGTTTGGATTAGAGTTAGAAGAGGCTGGGTAATGCAGGAACATCAGTAAAGAAACTATTCATCCATCCGTTAATTCACCAAACATTTAAAATGCAGTATCTAAGATATGCCAGGCACACGGAGGGGTGAATGGGATTTAAAGATGTATACTGTTATCATCTAACTAAAAGATGCTGGGGATTAAAAAGGACGTTGGTTAAAAGAGGAGAGAAAAGATAAAAGAGCTATTCTGAGGCAACATGAGCCATCATGTGCTGTCAGTGAAAATGTAGAAGGCTTTAAGGATGAACCTGAAGTTTCTAGCCTGGAAAATTTGTTGGATGATGATTCATTAACTGAAATAGGAAACAGGGGGAAAAAAATGTCAGATAGGAGGGGACAGAAGTGGGGACATGGAAAAACAGAGGAACAAATGAACTTGGTTTCAGAATAGTTGCATTTGTGATCCTGATGCCATATGGATTCAGAGATCAGAAGAGAGATGCGGGCTAGAGATGTAGATACATCACCATTCATGCCATCTCAAACAGGGAGGGTTTAAACAATCAAAAGAGAATTAGGCTAAGGTTAGAAACTTGGGCACAACAGTATTTGAAGGGTGGGTAGGTAAAGAATCTAGAAAAATATAGGAAGAAGAACATGGATGGAACAGTTCCATGAAAGCCAAGGAAGAGGACAACTTCTAGAATGAGGATGCTGAGGATGCTGGCAAACATGCTGAGTGCATGAGGGAATTTAACTTCTTTTGAATTTTAATCTAGGAGGACTTTTGTGGTTTTGACAATAGATGAGTAGTTGCTGATTTCAAAATGATAGTCCTAAATATGTATTTTTTTCTGTAGAATACATTTGCCATCTTTGTGCCACAAGGGAATTTAACTTTGGTCTTACAGACAGTAGTCTTCCAAATATATAATGATTTTCCCACACTTCTGCAGTAGGCCGATGAAACTTGAAACTGTATTACAAATGTTGCCTTCCAAGGGAAGGGCCACACATTAACGACCTTATTTCACCATACCATAACTTACCCAAGTCATATAATTTAGTTAGCAAAAGGGCCAACACCTAGACTCCTGGCTCTTGATTAAGCGTTTTATTTTTCTGTATTCTGATACTAAGTAACACAAGCAATACACACACACACACACACACACACACACACACATACCAGACTTTAGTACAATCACTTAATAGCAAAGTCAAAATGATTTCTTGCCCTGTAACTTTTTTAATATTTCATTTCATATAACTGAAGACAGACAAATGATTAGATCACTGTCTTCTCTTGGAGAAAATACGATGTGAAAGAAGACTGAATTTGTGAAAGATGGACTGATTTCTATTGCTTAAGTGCTCTAGCTTTAACTTTGTGGGAAGGTAACACTGCACTCAAGTTCAGATTAGAAGCTCTTTTGAGTCTCTCAAAGAGCCCCGAAGCAAAGAAGTAGACGGTACCTTGACTTTCTCGAGGTGATCTTGGAGAGAGTCGATGAGGAGATCGCCCACTGGCTGCCAGGATCCCTTGATCACCTCAGCTTGGCGCAGCTTGAGGTCCAGCTCATCCGTGGCCTCTTGAAGTTCCTGGAGTCTTTTGAGGGTCTCATCTATTTTTCTCTGCCAGTCAGTGGAGTGCAGGTTCAATTTTTCCCACTCAGTATTGACCTCCTCAGCCTGCTTTCGTAGAAGCCTAGTGACATTCTGGGCTCGCTCCTCAGGAGGCAGCTCTAAATTGGCAATACAACAAGGTTTTAGGCCACATTCATTTTTTTTTTTTTTTAACATTGTCAAAAAGGTCATACTGGAAGAAAGAAAGAGTACAGCTTAACAAGAGGGTAACCTACTGATTAATGGCTTTTTTATACTTTGGCATAAACTTTGATACAGCCCAGAACATCTAAAGTATGTCTTCCTGAGTTTCTACCTTATATCAATCTGATAATTTAAGATTCACTTAAGCTATTGAGAAGAAAAACGTTAGGATGCATAGCACAAGCTCTCATTTACTTTAGGCAGGCTCTTAAATGGAAAATTAACTTGTAGTCTTTGCAACAATAGAATTCCTCCTCACAGATAACTCCCTTTGTTTATTATTTTCTAAATGTTCCAATAACTGATTGCTAATCTCTTTTAATGTTTATTTATGAATGTGCAAACAGATTTATGCGTGGTAGTTTATGAGTCCTTATTGTTTTTCAGCATCTATGCTTAATTTGAATTGATTCTATTTAACCAAGAAAATATGAGAGCTATCCAGGCCCTGGCAGCAAGAATGGATGGGCTGCTCTGTCACCACTGATCCTTCTATCAATATGTTATTATAGTTCCACATTCAATTACCTCTGGGCTCCTGGTAGAGTTTCTCTAGTCCTTCCAAAGGCTGCTCTGTCAGAAATATTCGTACAGTCTCAAGAGTACTCATGATTACAGGTTCTTTAGTTTTCAATTCCCTCTTGAAGGCCTGTGAAAGGAGATGAAAAGAAGTGCTTATTTGGCTTGTGGCATTCTTCTCAAAATTAATCCTGGGTGCTTAGAACTTGTTTATGAAACTCCCAGGTCAATTTCTATCTCTTTTATTTATACACTGATGGTTATAAAATGATTTTTTAAAAAGGCTACATGGGTCTGTTAATGAGGAAAGCACTGTGTTTGTAAAGCTATTCTGGGGAGATGGGGGGAGCATTCCCAACAGTTAATGCCCTCTCACTGAGATAAGAGTGCTTTGTTTATGTAACCTGACAGCCATACTTGAAATCTACAGGTAAAGTTACAAGGTATATATTGCAAAGCTCTGGCGTGGCTAATGAGGACTTAAACAAATGGATATCCAAAATAATGGATATCCAGAATATAACAGGAAGCCTTAAGGGTCATTTACAGGACCTTAGGCTATGTTAAAGTATACAATTAATCCAACTGATAATCACCAGTTAATTCTGTCAAAATGTCTGACAAGGTATAAAATAGGTAAGCTAACTGAAAAGTCTCAATACTTTTGAAAAATAGTCATTACATCATCCATTGTGACCTCTTCGAGAATAGGAGAAATGTTTTGAGCTATTATGGATGTAGGAATTACGGGGGCTAGTTTCTATAAATGAACAGACCTAGAATTAATGTTTAATCTGTAATATTCCTTTATCCAGGGGATCAAGAGAAAAACAAAATGTATAGTTTCTGCCTTCAAAAAGGTTCTAGATCCAAAGAAGGGAGAAAATTAACACTAGAAGCAGAGTGAAAACAGTAAGTTCATACATAATTGAGTGCTAAAAGGATCGCGAGGCATACCGTGAGCCTAGAAGAACCTAACAGATACTCTGACACCATTGAAGAGAGTTATTGACCCAGGTTCTTTGATCTCAGAAGTGAGGGTATTAATAAAATTATTAAGTGCATGCTACATACATGCTAATATATCTGTTTAACAATAACAGTCATAATATTTGTCCTGATCTAGGGCTTAATTTCTGTAGCTTTTTTCAACTCTGTCTTACTTTTAGCAATGTTGCCTGTTGAATTTAAGCCCTGTTCTTTCACTGGAGAAAAACAGATTAGCAGTATTCTTCCTCGAAATTCAGATACACCATTATGTTACAGAAGTGTTCCACAGCTGTATTGTATGACACATTTTTTAATAAAATCTTAGTGGTGTTCACCATTCAAAAGAATCCTGAGTCTGATACTTTGCAAAATGATTCATCATCCACAGTTATTTACAATTCAACAGAGAAAGGGAAGGCGTTTGAACCAAAATACTGGAGTTCTGTAAGTAGAATATTAGGATTCAGCCTATAGATAGGGAAGAAATTTCTGAATAATGGGATATTTCTGTACCCTAAAATCATGCTGGATACGTGAGTTATTTACTTTGCTTGCATATAAAGCTGATTCTCCTAATATTTCACTTGAAATCTGTGTGTGTGTGTGTGTGTGTGTGTGTGTGTGTGTGTGTGTACAGTTGCTGTATTCTTGTGTATTTTTTCATACAATTAAGTTTCCCAGATTCAAGTAAATTATCATTTTGCCTAGTTCTCTGTTTGGACCTGACTGGAGGCAATTAATACTGACCTTACTAATTATAAAAATAATAATGGCTCCCTCTATTGAACTATCACATGTCAGTGGTTGTACTTGAAACTGGAAATACAAAGTTGGAACTTTTAACATATAACAGAAGAGTCAAACACGTAAATAATTTCAATACAATGTAGACAGTGCTATAGACTTGTGTAATATGGGGAAGAAAATCAGGAAAAGCTTCCAGGAGAAGCTAGTAATCACATAGAATTCAAAAGCATGAACATGACTTATTCAAGGAAGAGTATGCTAGAGGACATTCCAAGAAGAGGAAAATGCAAGTGCAGAGACATAGGACATAGAACAGTATGGTATATATCGGTATCTCAAGCAGGCCAGTGTTTCTACAGCATAAAGAACAAGGAGAGGGCATGTCCAAAGATGAAAAAGACACTATCATTATCTGGAAATACATTAGATTTTTAAACCAGAATTTGAAGCTCTGCCTCTCTATGATCATATATGGTCCGCTAAGAGGCTTAGGTGTTGCCTTGAAGGTAATCAGGAACCTTTGAATGGTTTTAACCAAGGGAGTGGCACAGGAATATGTGTGTTTCAAATAGATCTTCCTGATGTAAATACAGAGTATGTATTTGAGAAGAACAGAAATGGAATCAGAGAGATAATGAGGCGATTGTAAGAATTCAGTGCAAGATTATGAGAATCTGACTCAGGTCAATGGTACCAGGAAAAATGATGGGGATAGAATAGGGAAATGTCTAAAAATCTGAAGTGTGAAAATTTGGTGACTGACTAGATACTGGAGAGAAGAGAGAAAAAGAAACAAGAATGACTCTCAGTGTCTAGATTGAGTAGATGAACAAACGCTGGGTGCAATTCAACTAAGTATGAGGAAATAAACTTTCCTGGATGTCTCAGTTCACCTACAGAATGCTCTAGCCTCCTGAGAAACTTCCCACACCATGGAGATTAGATCTGTAGCGATTCATCTAGTTCATTTCTCTGATCCAAGAGGGTCAAATGGTTATAGCTCAGGGTAGGTTCCTAAGCTAAACTCTGTGTTGTCAGAAAGACTGGAGTGGGTATCTCTCTAGGTATTTACATTTCAAAAATACGAAACCCAGACCTGGGAGACATTTCTAGATTGTAAAACATGAGACACATAGGGCTAGCTGGTTTCTGGAGAAGCTGGAGTTAGAACTCAGGCGCATTATGTTTCCACAGAGAACCTTTCAGAAAGAGAGAGGGATAGCAGCCTCCTTCTCCTTTATAAGCAGAGGGAAAAGATTTTTCCTCGTCTCCCACTTATGGAGTACCCAGCCACTCAAGTAGGAAAATGTTTCATCAGTGTTCATCATGTTGCCCTGGGGGTAAGTCTTTGGGCAAAGGAAGGGCACAGCAACAATATTTACTGTAAGGTAATTAAATGAAATCTGCCTCTGATTCAGAACCCCTCATGCTCATTCAGGATAAAATTATTGAAGAGCAATATTAAAAACGCAACTTGATGGTGTGTTTGTGGGGGGATGTTCTGTGCATGGGGGACAGAATAAGGGACTGTGATATGCTCAGCTTGGAAAGCTAACATTCCTTCCACAAGGAAATAATAAAATCTGAGGTTTGAGGAGAAAAAAAAATATTTAGGAGTTATTTTCTCATTCAGCTAAGACACATTGAGTGCCTACATATCGAAGTTTAATGGGCAAACAGGAACGGGATCTCTTGAGAGACCGAAAAGGAACAAATAGGTGGAGAGATTAGGGGAAATGAGGAGTGTAGAAATTTCAAGGAGAGAGTGAGAATTTTGAGAGGAAGAGGGTGACCAAGCGTGCCCAATGAAACATAGAAGTAAAGTAAGATCAGCATTGCAGAGTGTTCACTAGCTGTGGTGAGAGCAATTTCAGTGGAGGGCAGAAGCCTCAGAAGTAGGTGTAGCTGAGGAGCAAGTGGAAGAAGGAGTAGGTATTTCAAGTGAAAATTAAATGTTCACTTTTCTTTTTCTGACAAGGAAAAGAGGAAGACAGGACAGGAGGACAGAGAAGATAACAAGATAAAGGGATAAGAAGTTCTTTTTAGCATAGGAATGATTTGAACCTAGAGTGAAAGATGGAAGCTAGCAGTAGGGTAACCAACCATCTAGGTTTGCCCAGCACTGAGTTTTTCAGGATGAGAGACTTTCAATGTTAAAACCAGGATAGTCTCAGGAAAATTGGACAGTCTCAGGAAAACCAGGAAAGTTGGTCACCCTAGCAGAGAAAGATACATGTTACGACCTTGACAGAAGGTGGAGATAATTGTTGGAACAAGGTCTGTAAAATAAGGAAATGTATCTTAAAGGTCTTATCAAACTTTAAAAGTCCAAGGCACTATTTGATGATATAATTCTATTGTTAAAACTGGACAGTAAATAATTCAAAGCTAAGGACCATCCATTGTGAGAGACCACTTGTTTGCCCATCGAGTCGTTGCCAAGGGCTTAGATCCACCACAGCTGCACAGTTCATTTCTTACATATGAGTCACTGAGGATTAAAATGGGGCTAAAGAAAAGACAAAGAAAGTTCTGTTATTACAAAGACATAAGCACCATTATTTTCACATTGTTGCCTGAAACTAAGAAAAGAAAGTGCATGGAAGAGAGGGTTAAGTGATTGTATCATTAGAATTTCAAAAGATTCAGATTAAATACAAAAGGATAAAACTCCCACAAAAAGAGAGAAATAGTTGGTTCAAGGAGGTCAGAGGATAAAGAAAATGGTAATAATTCTTATTATGTGGGAAAAACTATAAATAATAATATGTAATTTTAAACATGGTTATATGTAAGATCCTCCTTAATTTAGTCACTTAAACTTCAAGCAACTACTATGTATCAGACGCTGTTCTAGGCAATGAACATCTGTGGTCTTTGTAGCATGGAGCTGAAAACAAATGGCTTTATATAGTAAAAAAGCAATGTAGAATTTGCATTAAAATAATGGAAAATCAATTGTTCAGTATCTAATAACTCACCATAAACTGCATGTTGTAGTATAATTTATTGCATTTTAAAAGAAAGAAAAGTGAAGACTTTTTTTTTTTTTTTAAAAAAAGACAAACAAGAATATTTAATGTCAAGAGCCTTGATTTTGGTAAGTGTCTTGTCTCCCTCCCCAAAAGGTCTGTTTGAATGCGGTTTGAGAAAATATACACTCATATATACTGATTTTGTCATATAAATTTTGGTTAATATCTTAAACCAGAGAAGTCAGTTCCTTTATGTGATGATGAGAAAAGGTATCAGATATAGAGATTCTCTCCCACGTACATACAGAATATGTATTTACAATATTTAGATGTTAGCATTCAAATGTTAAGATAATTACTTCCTGAATCCCTTGAACAGATAAAATTATCTTTGTTAAAACACATTCTCTTCCCCATA